ATTTGTCGGCAAACATCTTGTGGTAGATGCCTGTAAAATGGTATGCCATATCATTAATAGTAAGCAACTGTCATGTTATTATTGTCAGCGTAATTCTAATCAAAGACAAACAAAGACACACAAAAACACACACATACACACACATACATATACATAACAAGCCAAATTTACACTGGCAGCAACTGCTTGGGCACTTCTGCATTTTGATGGGCTTTTCAATTACACTGTACAACAAAACGTAAGTTATTTATGCCACAAGAGTGAACTCAATTAATTCTAATGGGAATCAATTGAAACATATTACCTGATTATTTATTAAACAATGATACATATATGTTATACAAATAGAGTTGAGAGTGGAGTTCAGGACAGTAAATATGCATATAATATAAGGATTTTTTATTCCATTCAAGTTTACTATCTTAGCAAATTTTTATTAAATAACAAAATTAACTTTTAAATAATTTATAATCTACAGTATATGCAATATATATGGATTCAAGACTTTAACTGGTTTAAGAACTGTGAGAGAAAATTGTAGGAATTTATGCTAGGCCCATATAGGACTGGCTAGGAGCTATTCCAAGCAGAAAACTCAATATCGACTGCATAGACTGCATAAAATCAATTAAACTTGGTTAACGTAGTGCAAGCACCCACACAGTGGATTTTTAAAGTAATTTTAGCCATTTCAGATTGCTTAACCGCAAGCCGTTGCCCACTCGCACAGTTGGCAGAGATTCAATTTTATGGTATTTAATTAGTTTTTATTGGCACAATAGCAAAGCTCGTTGATTGTATGTTCGTATGTCTGCCTCGCTCCCTCACTCACTCTCTCTCTCTCTCCCTCACTATCTCTCTCTTTCTCTCTGTCTGTGTTTGTAAAATTCTATTAACTTTTTGTGTGCAGTTAGTATCAATTGAATTTATCTTGGGGTACGATTTTTTTGTACTTACGCACAGTCCGCATGGTAATATCTGGATCGGGTATGCGCACATTGGCCAGCAGGGGCAGCACCTCCTCCATGACCTGCCGAGTTGTTGTTAGTCCAGCTTAGATGGCGTGATTTAAGGCTTAGCTTAGTGGCTAATACGCACCTGAGCTCGCTCCATGCGATCCATGACACGCTCAATGCATATCAGCACATTCTGCACAATCTTGGGGTCCGTTATGTTCTTCTCGAATACCATCTTCACCTTGGGCAAGACCATGCGCCGTATGGAGAGCTCGGCGATGCTATCGAATACGTTGCCCACAGCCACCACGGCTGCACTCTGTGCGATAGAAATTGTTGTTTAGCGGGGAGGGAGGGAATTGGCTAAGATCTATAATATTACAAATTGGGGAAATTCTTGTTCGATTTGAGTACTGTCTGGCATGCCGCAGAAGTGGTTTCCATTTCAATTTACAAACGACTTTAAATGCTCGAGTTTCGAGTGCTCTACACTGGCCTGGCTGGGCCGGGTCGGGCCGGGCCGGGCCTGGTCTGGGCTGGGCTGGGCTCTCCTTGTCTTTAGTGCTCGGAGGTGCTCAGGCGCAAAAGGTAAAATTACTTTCGTTGGCAATAAATTTGAAGTGGCAACCGAGCTGCTTAGAAGAAGAAGAGCTATCTCTGTGCCGCAGTTAATTAAGAAATTTCTGCTGTAATTACGCAATCAACGCTAAGGCCAATGCCAACTCTGTTGACTTGTCAACCCATTCTACACCTCMCACTCCCTYCATCACCTCCTCACTTCCYCTGTRTGTGRCTGGCTCCGGCTCGAACTAATTTGCATATCTATAGCGTGGCAGGTGAATCGAAGGCAACGTCTGCGGATTGTGCTTACCTGCACTTGTATTGTGGATCCGTCAAATGAAAAGAATAGCATCGGCATTATATCTGTGGTGACATCCTCGGGTTTCGTCTTCTCGATTATCAAGTGCAAGTTCTCAAGTATCGTGACGCTGGCCTGAATGGATTTTGGCGTATTGTAGACAATCCTATTTATAGCCAGACAAAGCAAATACACAAATCATTGCATACTCATCTCAATACAACATACGTATATCTTAATCTGATGGGGCACAAAAGTTTGCCGACTGTTTCATTTAATATTTGTATAAAAAATGAGCCCAAATAAATGCTTTATTATTGTTGCACACTAGCTGGACCTTTGCTTAATGCTTAAGTGTGTGTGTGTGAGTGCGTGTGTCTGTGTGCGTGTGGGTGAAAAGTTGTTATTTGCAACTTTTTTGGCAGTGTCAATAAGCGTCTTACAACAGTCGAAAAACAACTTTGTTTGCCCATCGCCTTAGTCAAATGTTTGAGTGGGCCGAGGGCTGTTTGACGTCTTGTAAAAGTTAGTGCATATACATATGTAAAATGATTGTATGTGAATAACAATCGAGTAGACAGACTCATTCATACATGATTGACTGACTGATATGCGAATGCTCAACTGCCTGATTGACTTACCCCATAACTGTCTAGTTGAGTGACTAAGTGATACCCTGTTTAGCTGACTGATTGACTGAATGACTGCCTGATCTGCACTGTACGACCCACATACTAACTGGACTTAGACTAAATTCTCAAAAATCCATTTTAATCTATTTGCCTTTCCAATTTATAAGTATTTTGACGCCATCCACTTGAACTTTCTCGACAACACCTCGCTCTGCCAGCAGCAGCAGAAGCAGCAGCAGATGTGCACATGCGGTTTACTAATTTATGTATGCCGCGCCAGCGGCGTTGAGGACACAAAAGGTGCGCATTGTCCTGACATAGTTGGCCCCGACACAAAACTTTGCGCGGCAGAAACTTTAACTACAACTTGTGGTCT